TTTCTCAAAATCACATAAAGCGATATTATAACATCGACTGAGATAAAAAATAAAATGAAATATTAAAAACACGATGTATCTCGCTGCATTGCGCGAGTATCAATTTTCATGTAAACGTGATGTCTGATCTCAATCATTCATTTTATTTGATACAACAACTCCCATTAAATATAGTTTTTAATCATAATTATTAATTCAGGTAATTAGGGGTAAAAAAAAGTATTTGATTTCAATCTAAGCCTTACCTTTTTTGACTTTTTATTTTTTCTTTTTATTAAAAAATACCTCTTTTAAATAAATTATCTTAAAAATTAATAATATTTTAATCAAACAAATTATATCAAAAAAAGGAGAATTTTATGCTCTTCGATATTACATCAATCTCGATATAGTTTTTTTCCGTTTTAACCATTTTTTACGTGAAATGATATATATGTGTTTTATTCATCATAAATATTTATGTACGTTCAACTGAGTACAATAACTTGACATAGTGGGTCTGTAAATCGACATCACCTTCTTTAACATCACAAGGCACCACGTTCTTCATCATCGTAACCCAACACCCATCGAGACCGATCGAGAACCTATCAAGACCGATCGAGAATGGTCGAGAATCCATTCATTAACTTGGTATGTTTTTAATGTGTTAAATCATAATCTACCACCTTCATTTTCCATCAAGAACCTATAATTTGATTTACTATTTGTTTGCATGTAAAAGCATAGACTATCATTTTCATTTTTTATCGAGAATGATTGAGAACACAACGTTTAAAAATTAAGGGGTTAAAAGTTTTTTAATTCAAAAAAAGAAAAGAAAACATAAAGTCAAACATGGTAGCCGTAAATCCCAATTTCCATTTGTACTTCTAATCACTTCTTAATTAACGTTTTTATGTTTTAACCATTGATTAATTTTCTAAACTTTGATCAATGGTCAAGACTGGTCCTCATGTTCACAATGAAAAATGAGTTTTCATTTGAACCACCCTTATATATACACACACACACACACACACACACACACATACATAGGGTCAGGTTTAGGGAAAAATAAAAAAAAAAAAATGAAAAACTGATGAATATCATATATTAACCATTTATCTGTATGGTATGCACATGTATATAAGTAATTTGTAAGTAATTTTTTCAACATCCACGTGTGCATAGATTAAGAAAGAGACTACCCGACCCGACTAGGAGAGTTCAATCTTCAAATGAGTGAACAAAGAAGAAGGGATAGTAGATTTGAGATCGTAAACTTGTAATCGACAAATCTAGTAGAAGAAGGAAGGGATTAGGGTATTGAAGTAAATTGCCAAAATATTATAATTGCCCATATGGATTAAAATATAAGGGACAAGACTGAAGCGATTGAACTAAAACATGGGTTAAAAATCTGTTCGAAATCTCACATTGGTCCACCTTCCAGCATGACTTTGTCAATTATCAGCTACTTATTAACTAACAGTTAACTTATCAACTAGTTCGATAAACATAACAAAAAAATAATATGAATATTCTTAAAAAATGTAGAATGTTCCACGCCATAAATATCATTACAAGTGTTCACTTTTGGTATTATTCCTACATCAATAGCAATGTATTTTTCAAAAAAAAATTATTATAACATAATTAAATTCTTTTTGTTAAGATATTGCATTTTTAAAATCTACCTATTACAGTAACGATTAATTAACCTGCGGAAAGAAACTTTAATGACATAACACAAGTTAGTATGGTTTTAGACATTTCTTTAAAATAATTATTAGAAAAAAGTAACGTTTTTTAAGAAAAATATTAAAAAATAAAATAAAATAAAATAAAATATATAATATTTTTTATAGAAATTATGATAAAAAATAATATTTTTTATTAATATTTTTTACAGCATAATAAATAAATTTTGTAACAGTGATGTATTTATAATTAAACAAAAAAAAGTAAAAGACTATTAACATAAAAAGAAAAAGACAACAAAAGACAAAAACACATAAAGAAAACAAAAAAAGAATATTTATACGGGAAAAGTCTAAAAAAATCCAATAGACTTTAGTATTTGAAATAATTAAGTCTTAGGATAATTTTTTGGAACAAATAAGTCCTTGGATATTCTAAAACATGTTAAATAACTCATTGGACAATTTTTTGGAACAAATAAGTCATTGAACATTCCAAAACATGTTAATAATTTTTTGTTGTCTTTTTCTTTTTATGTTGATAGGGGTGGCATTAGTAAGGGATAGGGGTGCCATTAGCCTCCCCCTTTTAAGGGGATCACCCCTGGGGGCGATTCGTATATATATTTTGGCAATTTTGCTGAGAATTGATTATTTTCTTAATACATGAGGTATAAATTTGTTAATTTGGTGATTTTCCCTTTTTAATCTACCTATTATAGTAACGACTAATTAACCTGCTGAAAGAAACTTTGATGACATAACACAAGTTAGTATGTTTTTAGACATTTCACTGTCTATATGTAATATATTACTGATTTGACATATTTATTATTATAACATTGTAATTTTAAAATTATCTTATTATAAGATCATACTTTTAACATTATAGCTGTTATTTCTTATTTATAAAATTATAAAGTTTATTTATTTGAAAAAAGTAAATTACAGATGTCGTTCCTTCGATTTATCAATGCTTTGTTTTTGGTCCTGAGTTCAAAACTTTTTTTTTTTATCTTTAATGAATGTTCATCTTATAAATCTAAACCCTCAAAAACTTGAAGAAAAATTGTATAAAAATCAAGAATTTAAACAACAAAATCATTTCAAAAAAATTATAATATGAAACATACATGTAATCAAAAACTTAAATCTAACGGGGTTTTGTTCTTAATATAAACAAAATAATCAGTAGAATTTCACTTTAAAATAAAAAAAAAATTCACGAGGCACACAAATCGCCTATCATTGAAGAAACCCAGATAATCAATCAATGAAATCACTCAAAGAACACCCGAAGAAGAAGAAGACGACGACGGAGGATGAAGGAGAACCATGGTGAATGTCGCCCTTTGCTGTCATTATACCCCGTCCACCCTATGTCGCCTAGCTTCCTTCGATTTTGTTGAGTTTTTATGTGTACTCCGGCTTCCCTCGAGTCGCCAACCACAATCGCCCCTTGAACTTGTGTATAAAACCAAGAATGTGAGTCAAGTTCTCGATTTGATATATAGATCTTCACTTGGGTGATTTGTTTGTGTTCAATCTCAAACCCTAACATCTATATATGGGTAAAATTCATTTGTTTTGTAGTGTATACATCATTCCCGGTCTCTAATTAATAATGTTCACCTTTGAGCTTTCAAGATTTTGCTGCAAATTATTTTGAATATCACAAAAGATGTTACAAATAAAAAGTTATTTGGGCAACAATGCATTCCAACATCTTTGCCTACACACACACATAGATTCTGTTATACTAATGCATCAATCTCTTGTCCTGCATGCGAAAGATGCTTGGTCCATATGTGGAGTAGACCATCGTACTGAGCAAAGGGAACTGTAGCACTCCAAATAGACCCACAGGAATACTTGTTACTACAAGAAGAGGAGCTGCAATCCATGTCACTTTATCTTGAAGCATTAGTGAAAGAGTTGCGCTGAATGCTACCAACGTAGCTGCTAACGACAAGAACAAGAACACAAGGCCGATCGTCATTCTCTTTGGCAACATGTAAAGGAAGTCATCTTCTGCGTAGCGTGAAGTCAGAATCCCTAGGAACATTAACACCAAAGTAGCTGAAGAAAATAATGCAATGGCATCTGATATGATAAAAAGCATAAAGGCTCCTCTATCCAAATACACCGGATTTCCTTCGTTTTTGTTTCCACCAGGGACCGCGAAGGCAACTGAAAATGCCATTGTGACTATGAGTGTTGCTACCACGGTACTTGACGATGCCATGTTTTTCATCCATTCTTGGCCTTCTTTAAGCAAGTCTTTATGCGCATCAGTGAAAACCATTCTAGGAGTTTTATTCTCATTGTTGTAAACGTTTTTATATGCGGGTTGTACGAAATTAGTTTCGATTTCCTGCACAAAGCGATAATTAATGTTTGAAATATATATATATATATATATATATAGTTGTTGCCCGTTACAAGTGTTGTAATATATATATATATATATAGTTGTTGCCCGTTACAAGTGTTGTAAGGGACAACAACTATTATTGTCATCCCAATTAGGGTTCATGATCGACTTAATTAATCCATTATGATCACCTTGAACCATTGAAGCTCACGTTGCATTTGTAAAGCTGCTCCTTTTATAATATTTAGTCGATGAGGTGGGGCCAACTTTGCAGCCATATGTAACGCGTTCTCTCCTGTTTTATGATCAACGTGATTTGCTATAAACGCCTTGTAGCTACTCATTTGGTAGACAAGATTGTATATTTTTTCTTGGCGTTGACCGATGGCTAAATGGAACAAATGAGCATCGAAGAAAGTAGCCCAAATTATGCTTGGGTATGCTAATATACACTCCTCAATTACCTCATAATTCCCAAATTCTACGGCTGAAAAGATGTTGGATCCTAGGATCGCCCAAATTGTGTCTTCATTCTTCTTTTGTACGAGAGTTGTGCATAAGTGCTTCACAAGTTGCTTGACTTGTCTATGTGTTATTTTCATATCATAGATGTTAGTGATTGGTGAAGCTACATGAATTATATGATCCATAGTTAGAGACAATTGATCCATCATAAGAAATTTGCAAAGATGATTGCATTTATAGTTAACATACCTATGAATTGAAGGATCCTCTTAAACCATACTGTAGTAGATGTAGAGTTACAGCAGGAAAATTCCTTTGCAATAAATTCCAAAAAGATTAAAGAATTGGTCTTTTGGGAAAGTAAATCTAGTCTAGTAGTTAGGTTATGTAATATATAAATATATAATTAAATGTATATATAGGGTTCCAAAAGGAAAACAGTTAAGATCGAGAGTTATACCTCATATTGTTGACTTGTCGTCTTCTTATAATCAGGTATGATTTTACTCTCATGCACAGGCATCACTTGAAGAGTCAAGCAAAGCAAATACAATGATTTAAATCCATGACTAACATTTCAAATGCATGCATGGTGCAATTTATTTTCAAAAAGAAGTAACGTAGGTGTTAAAGAGAGATCGATTTACTTGAATAAATGAGACGACCCCAAAATCCAAGTCTGCTTCCACTTGGAAAGAGTTCAGTTCTTTTAGTTAACATCTCCAAAGATTGGTGCAACTTCCCACTTTTGGATAGGATGATGTCTGAGTGCTTTGTGACTAGTTTTAATGCCAAGTCTGTATGACAATAAATAACTTCAGTTTCCATGTTAATTATGTAGCTAGCTAGCTAGCTAGCTTTCGAGAGTCAAGATATATGGATACATAGACTTTGTATATGTATATATAAAAATGTACCAAGGAATTCAGCTTCAATGGCGGGAATAAGAAGATTGCCACTAACTGATCTCTGAGTGGGAAGCTCCCATGTTATTGTTGGGGTGTTCAGAACACCCATTTTAGAGAAGAAGAATTCAAGCATTTTGTTCTTCCTTCCATGCCACGAGGCATACGACAACGGCGTACTTCCATTAATATAATTCGTAGCTACGAATCTCTCTAGGTTGGAACCAGAATATCGTACCAGTAATTCTGCATCTTTCATATTCCCAATCATAGCAGCGTAATGGAGCACCGTCTCTCCTTGGTTGTTCGTTGCATCTAGCGCACTAGCGATCGAACCATCCGTGGTAGAAAGACTGGACAACAGCCTTTTGACAAAATCATGAGACCGCCCCGTTGCCACTGCTATCATTAGTGGCGTCTCCAACTGTCGATTGATTGGCTCGGTTCGTTGATCCGGAAACTCTTCAAAGGTTTTGCTTACGAAATTCCAGTCGTCTGTAAACACAGCTCTGTAAATTAGGAGATAAGTGTCTTTGTACTCATAACTCATTTTGGTTAAGTTCATTGATATATCAAGATTTAAGATCCAACTACGCTACCTATTTATAGACTTAATTACTTAACGGATGCTATTTAACGGTGTCAATGACAATGACCAAACACGTCAAACATACCCTAAGGCTTTATTTGTAGAGAACCATATATAAACCAAAACCATAATTTACTCTAGATTTAATGACTTAAAAGGTCAATTTTTTTTAATTAACCTAGATATCCAACCTGTTATGCAAGCCAACTAATCTCAGGACGACCGCTTTACAGATAGCCCGAAGTCACCGCATTTGAACCTCTCTTGGATTTGAACTTGGGTAAACTACAACGTTAACTAATCATAAGATATCATTAATTTTTTTATGATCCATTTTTTTTTTTGAAGTATACATAATATTTATATACAGTAAATAAAATAAATAACCTCATACTCCCTTTAACTTTAATGAAGTTTGAACCATTGATCTCTTGGGATGCCAAAGAACTTTGATTATGATCCATTTCTTGAGAATAAGTTAAAGAAAATAAATAAAACGGAATAATTGTTTTTGCGTTAAGTTTGAGTTTGGAAAGAAAGAAAGATGTCATATATATTTTCACTTTTTCATGTTTCACGAGTTAGAGAGAGAAAAAAGTTGATAATTTTAATAGTGAAATATATATATATATATATATATATATATATATGCTACTTAATTTTTAAGGATAGGACTTGGAATTACGTAAAACCAGTCTGTTTTCGTGAGAGCCGTTAAATTATTTTTTTACACTTGAAATTTCACAACATAATACACATGTGTAAACACCCTTATCACATAATACACATATGTAAAAATAAATATAAAAGATCGATAATTTAGTCAACTCATAAATATATTTAATTAATTTATTCTCTGCATAATACACATGTGTAAACACCTCTATCACATGTGATAATACATATGAGATAACTTGGTGGTGTGCGGATGACGTGTCATTCAACTTTGGTCACGCCAAAGATCATCCGCGTCTATAATTTAATATCACATGTGTTGGATCATAATATCATATGAAGAACATTTTATCAAATGTGATAATACAAGTGAAAGTTAGTGGTGTAAGGACAACTTAGCCCGCAACCTAGATCTCACAAAAAAAGTTGTTCACGTCTTTGATTTAGTATTACACATGTGATTGAACATAGTTTCACATATGATTGTCTATAGTAAAAATGTGTTCTTATGTTCTCGTAAAATGAATGTGTTCTCGTTTGAACCATTTTCTATATATTATAGATTTCGGATTTGTTAAAGCAAATTTTAGAAAAAAAGTCTACATTATTTTATGATTTTTAATAACAATTATGCATATAATATGAATAAAAATAAAATTGATCAACCCAACCTCACATATTTTGCTTAACTAATACTTTAAAAATATATAACTAATAATTAAACAAAATATTTTACTAAAAAAATTAGTATGATTTATTAAACTATGAAACAAATAAGTATAATTTACTTAAACATTTTTAAAGATATGATTAGATAATAATTTTGAATAATCAATAATTAAAATCAATTTATAATTAAAATTAGTTAATAAACATTAATTGTTATTTATTAATTAATTATAGTAATAGTTAATTTTTATTAATACCAGAGTTATAGTTGAAAAGGATGACAATAAACTCCTAAAAAACTATTTCTACCAACTTTTCAATATGTCCATTCAAATATGTACTCAAAAAATAAGATAGTTTATGTTTGTCAAACAATACTGTAAAATTTTCTAATAACAACATCCTTCAAATAATCCTTTTCTTCCCATATAAACTTTGCCTTTTTTTTTTTTTTTTTTTCTGTTTCTTTACTTTTCTTTACTTCGACATCATAGTACAACACAACTTTTTTTTACTTCAATATTACAGCAAGGATCGGCTTTTTTCTTTACTCTAATATCATCGTAAGGATCGAATTTTGATCTTTACTCTAATATCATCGTAAGAATCGAATTTTCGTGAAGCAAGCCACAAAAATATGAGATGGCATACCATTTCATGACACGTCACCACAATAAACCGTATCATCCAAAAAGCATATCAGTATGACCAATGACCCTCTCATTTGAATAAACCACGTTGAATAATTTATAATCTATAATTTATTTTGTGTTGTTAAATAACAATAATTAATTTATTTTGTGATGAAAAATTGTTAATTAGTAATATTTATTTTAGTTTAAAAAAAACTGTTTATAATATTTACTTAAATAAATTATTTACAACCATCATTAATTTGAATAAATATAAGATTAAACATATTTTTATATATACTCAATTAAATTATGAAATGGAAGTGTATCACAATTATATAATATGTTTTATGAAATGAAAATGTATATCATGATTACATTAACTTAAATGTAAAGAGTAAGATTAGAGATGCTTTAAGAAAATGTTGTGTTTCACACTCGTACATATATCAATGTCATTACAAGGATCCACTTTTGGCATTATTTGCTTTATTCTTGCATTAATCACATCACGGGCCCTATTATTCTTTTTATAAATGTTAATGTGTTTTGTTGTTATACAAAAGTTATCTGTTGATTTTGTGTAATTTAATTCACAAGAGAATAAAGATGCATGGTTGGTTAATTAAGTTATAATACAAGTAAGAAGGTGTAGAAATAAGTTATATAAAACTTGAGATCGTTATATGTTGTGATCAAGGGGGTTGCAAGGTCTTAGCTAAGGGTAGTGCCTCTAGCAGTCAGCAGAGGTGTATCCATGCTAATTCTTTAATGGTTATAAACAATGTTGGAAGCGTCTTCGCAGAGGTATGCATGGGCCATCAATGACGATTGATGTTTATAACATCTGATGGGTTATCGGCTAATAAGTGATCATCTGGTTCAACCTCTATTGCTTATCTTCAGTTGATGGTTTACCAGCTGATTTTTCCACCAGCTTCAACCAGCTTTCTTAATTTTGTAACTGTTCCGTTAAATATAACCATCGACAAATATTGAAAAAAAAAAACTCATATTGTCGATGATCCTTTGCAGATCACCCGACGACAATGTACGTCGGTAATTGTTCGTTGCTGAAAATCATAGCGAGGCAGACACCATATCTTTTGGAAAGCTAGTTATTACGAGTAAACAACATACAAAGCAACTGAACATAAGAAAAACTCAACTCTGATCGATGCTATATATATATATATATATATAGACTTGGGATCATGTAAGACCCTACAACATTTATTGGTGCCTCCCCCTTCCCCCCACACACATAAATTGACCTGTATTTATGCATCGTAACTACTTATCAGATTTTGGTTGACTGAAAATACTTGGTCCATATGTGGAATAAACTAGTTCTATGAGCAGAGGAAATTGCAGCCAACCAAACAAACCGATTGGAATACACGCAATTACAACAAGCGGAGCTGCAATCCATGGCACTTTATCCTCGAGCACAAGTCCAAGAGTCGCACTGAATGCGATCATAGTAGCTGCTAATGACGTGAATAAGGAGACAAGTCCAATCGTCATTCTCTTTGGTAACGCATAAAGGAAGTCATCTTCTGCAAATCGTGCCATAAGTATCCCTAAGAACATTAACACAGAAGCAGTTGAAGAAAATAAGGCAATGGCATCTGATACGATGAAAAGCATAAAGGTTGCTTTGTCTACGAATAGAGGTTTGCCATCGTCTTTGTTTCCACCTGGGACTGTGAAGGCGCCTGCAAACGCCATTGTCACTATCAGTGCTGCTACCACGGTACATGAAGCTGATGCATCTTTCATCCATTCTTTTGCTTCTTTAAGTAAGTCCTTATGTTCTTCGATGAAAAGAGTTTTTGGGGATTTCCCGTCTTTGTTCGAAGCTTTTTTACGCAATGGATCTATAAAATTCTCGACTTCCTGCACAAAGATGCATACTATGGTTAACAAGATACTATTAGGTTGTCCAATTTCGAACTAACAACTAATTGTAAAATATTTAGTTATGAGTTCATTGTATATGATCACCTTGAACCATTGAAGCTCTCGCTGCATTTGCAAGGCTGCACCGGTGACAATGTTAAGTCGATGAGGTGGGGCCAACTTTGCAGCCTTATGTAACGAGTTCTCGCGTGTTTCTTTGTCGATCAACGTTGCTTGGGATACCTTGTGGACAGATGATTGCGATAAAATCTCGTACACTTGTTCTTGGCGTTGCGTAATGGCTTCTAGAGACAAGTGAAACCCTTCATTACTGCCGGTGTACCAAATTATGTCGGGATAAGTTGAAACACACTCTTCGATGACCTCCACAGTTCCGTGTTGGACTGCTGTATATGTCGAAGATCCTAAAATCTTCCAAGTTATATCATGGTCGCCTTTTTCTATGACTTTTTCGCACATATGTTTCGTTAGTAGCTTGCTTTGATGATGTTTTACTTTGATATCATAGATATCCTTGATTGATGGAGCTACATTGGCATCATATGCAATCCAAAGTTAGCGATCATTGATGGCATAAACAGCCATAAACAAAATGACAACAATATCGACTGTGTAACATACCTAAGTACCGAAAAACATTCCAAAATCCAACGGTAAACTGTTCGATCAAGGAAGAAACGAAAAGGGTTAAAAAGTTATTCTTTTTTTTATTATTAACCTGGATATTCAACCCGCTATAACCACCCACGAAGCCTTATATTCATATTAATTGGCAAAATGCATCAATATTATGTAACGACGATTGAGCTCAGGCATTTTTAATTAGTGTAACGATAAAAAAAATTAATAATTAATTAGAATAACAAACGTTCAATTCTTTCTATCGTTATTCATTTTGAATGCCATACCTTGCTGGGAGCCATTGAAGAAATGCTGACTTGATCAACTCTCTCTTTACTCATATTGTTGATAGGTATAACTTGCATCAATAAAAAACCATGTACCAAAATCATGATAATTTATATGTAGAAACAGTTGTTACAATACAATTAAAGGGGAGAGCTGTCAAAATCAGGTTAAATCATACATTGAAAATCTAAAAAATGAATTTTGATGTTACTGTGTGACGGGAGGAAATTGCTAGAGAGGGGTGATGATTATTTGCGTATATTTCAATTTGAAACACCACAAGAAGAAAAAGAGCGGGAGAGATTTACATATATAGATGAGACGACCCCATAATCCAAGCTTGCTTCCGCTCGGGAAAAATTCTGGTTTGGTACCTAATACTTCCAGTGCTGTTCTTTCGCGTCCATCTTTTTCTAGCGCAATGTTCGGATGTCGAGCGATTATTTCTAACGCTACGTCTACAAAACAATCGAAAACGTTGAGCTAGTTTTTGGTAGATGTGTCATGGGAGTAGATCCAAGAGTTAATTAGCAGACTTTTTTTTTATTAACCTGGATATCCAACTCGTCATGCGAGCCGAATTAGTATACTTATTCGTAAATCAATCGAATTAGAGGGAAACAGGCTGAAAATAATCCAACTTATAACAAATATAAATAAAAAGTGAAGGAAGTTCTAGGTTTACCAAGGAATCCAGACTGAATTGTGAGGGCAATGAGATCGCCGCCAGCAACCCCGGTGTACGGACTACTCCCTTCCTCCTCGAAGACCTGGTCCATAGTTACCGTCAGCAAGTATCGAAGTGTGCGCTTGTTTCCATGGAATGCAGCCAAATTCAACGGCGTATGACCATCCTTGTTCGGAACTAGAGTCTTACCCTGGTTCAGCTCCACCAAAACCCTAGCATCCGTCGTATTCCCAATCTTAGCAGCACGATGGAGCGGGTTGTCTCCGAGGTCACTCTCCAAAAACAGCTTATCTGCATCACCAACAGCAACGATAAGATCCACCAACTGTTTGACGAAATCATGGGAGCGATTCGTTCCCACAGCAATCATTAGCGGCGTTTCCCCTCTGCAATTGATCTGTTTAGTCATTAATCCTGGATCTTGCTCGAAGATTGGTTTTACGGATTCCCACTTGTTGTTTAATGCAGCTTGGTGAATGGGGAGACAGGCGATTACATGGCTGTTAGAACTCATCTTCTTTATTGAATGTGTTTGAATGTCTGTCAACCGATGGTGTTGCCATTTTAACATCGAAACCAATTATAGTTGCAGATTGAAATAGGAGACATGGGATTGGTTGATCTGAAGTCAACATAAAAGGTCAAGGTTTTGATAGTTGTTTAATGGGGATGACATGGAAGTTGGCTACTTTTCTTCAAACTCGTCGGCTGTTCAGTTGGAAGAAGAAATCTCCGACCTCAGTCTTATCTACCAACTCTCTTTCACACAACTTCATGTAAGTCATGCAGGTTGGACCCACTATGGTGCACACGATGGTACAGTCATCGTTTTGTTCCTTTGTCGTAGTGAAAACTTTTAGGGCCGTGAAATATGTCGCCACATCAATTATTTTGTTATTTTTTCTTTAAACTACAATAATAACACAAGTTTTTCGTTGTAGGTTTGGTTTCTTGTAAGTTCGAATTTCATTTGTATCTTTTTATAATATTTAGCTCTTTAATTTCATATTTATAACTCGAATGCCGGATTTCACATACAGAAAACAAGGATTAAACCAACAATTATTTTATAAAAATATCCATAGTTTCTTTTTTATAGTCAAATGAGGCAGCTACTTGAAAATTTTCCTAAGTCTGTCTCCGAAATTATGTGCATGAGAGATCCAAGAGTTTTGGGGGTTTTACAAGCATTATCAAGAAAGAGAGACAATTTAGGCTTCTATGTATTTGTTTTATTTTGGTAACTTTGCATATTCGATGTCAGGATGTGTAGATCTCGACTAATCTTATGAGACCCTGAAGGTAATAATAATAAAAATCATTAAAATAGTTGGATTTTCAAAATAAATTGGAATAGAAGTTTGTACAAATTTTGTCCATAAATTAAATTCAAAAATATTCAATATTAACACGTTTTTCTCTATAAAAAAATAATTTCATCTTGACTAAAACGTAGTATATATGACGCAAGTTGGCAAAACATTTGTAATTTAATGATATTTAATGGGATTGATACTCCAAATTGAAGCCATCATAGATTAGTAGAAAGAAAAAGATAGAATAAAATTACCTAATTTTGTTTGATTATTCTGTTTTTAATTATAAGCTAACGACTTTTTTCTTTAAAGCTTACGTCATAGAAGTGGACATCTCGCTATTCGCATCTTTCTGGCCGAAAGAATGCTTACACCAAGGATAGTGTCGGTGGAGAGAAGAGCTATGTTAGGGCATATGATAGTCTGTGCCACCACTTTATGGTTCTGTTGTAACGGGGGGAAATTATGTTATTGAAAGGTGTCACTCTAACGTTTTGATGTGTTCCCTTATATTTATTGAAATGGAACTTAAGAAGTTTATGGTGGATGAGTTGGTTAATTTAAGACTTTAGCATCCTAATCATTTTCAAGATCGGAGCCAATTTACGTTCTTGGTATTAAATCATAATAGACTTCTGGTTTTCTGAATGAAATCACCAAGTACTTTGTTATATTTGTTATGCCCAAACATTAGAAAAATGAATTCCCAAAAATACCCTTAAAAAACTAATAATGGTTGATGAAAATTTTGAACAAAAGGGGGATGAAAATTTGAATTACAAGATGGAGAGGGGGGATTTCAGAAAAGAAAATTAAAACAGGGACCGACGGTCTAAGTTTGATGTGGTCACGTCTGACCTTTAATTGGGTCGGTCTAACTCTACCCGACCCAAAATTACCGCCTATACTTGATACTAACGAGCTTGTATTTATGTTTGAAACTCAAGGATTAATCTCGAAAAGCATATCAAAACACCAACCCATCACAAACATTCCGACCAAAGATGTTGATGATTACTTGGACCGAGTATTGTAATTAAACAATTACGAAGTATATTAATTTGATAAATTAAATTATCATATTTGTCAATAAAGAAAAATAAATATTTAATTAGAAAATTCATCAAAATAATTAGTGTGGCCTCCCCCTTAAATAATTGACATACAAAATCTGTCTCATAATGTTACCATGTAAGAATATGTAGAACACCACTATATACTTTTTAAAAGAGTCTTTGAAGAGGAAATTAAGAGATTTCCAACATATATATAAAAAGAAGAATTGGTCCAAATTTAACCGATCTTTAACACGTTAAAACTCTAATAATATCTTTGACGTACCTACTGATTACAATTGATTCCTAGACTTGACCACACAAAACAATAGCAAACAAATCATTTGTTTGTTTTGCTGGTAAAAACTGCTTAGTCCATTAGTAAAAGAAATTGCAGCAAACCAAACCAACATACAGGAATATTGGTTGCAATAACAAGAGGAGCCACAGATTTGGACGGTATGTACATGTGCATACTGGTAACTTGTGCATGTTATGTACATGTACATACCAGATAAATTTCTTAAAATCATGTACATATTGTCCAGATGAACGATACTAGGGTTTTCTTCAGTTTATCATCTTTTTACGGTTTTCTCTGGACAATATATACATATCAACTTTTTGGATTGAGAAATGTAAAAACAAATATTAAGGGATGATTTCAATTCCCTTTAAAGGTGGTAGTTTTTAAGGGATGGAATTGATCACCTTGAACCATTTGGAGTTCACGTTGCATTTGCGAAGCTGCATCCTTAAGTCGATGAGGTGGGGTTATCTTTGCAGCCAAGTGTAACGTGTTCTCATCCTCTTTACCATCAACCTGAGTTGCTACGAATATTTTGTGCACACGAGTCTTCTTGGCATTGCTTGGGCGATTTTAGGATCTACAATGGTTACAACAGTCATTTTAACTTACCCGATTGCCATTTCTAGTAATAATTTTATACATACGATTTAAGGCTATTTTGAGTATGATCGATATACTTTGATACTGGACCTTCAGTTTTAGACAGTATGCGCTCCAAAGTTAGAGATTATATAACACACATATTTACTAGAAGGGTATTCGCACAATGTAGCGAGATAAATCTCGATTTTAATGTTTATATGGTTTTGAGAAAGTAATAATGTTTTTATCTATACTATCTTATTAAGCAAATTTAGCAAAAGTCTTAAAATACTAAATGACCAAAATACGATTTATACTCACTTTTTCACCCCCTCTTCTCCTCACATACATTCACCCTCTCACAACCGATTTTTTTAAAATTATAATTTTAAATTTACACTTTATACTCCTATAGTTAATTAATTAATTAATTTACTTTATCGTCCTTTACTTTTAAATGTTTCATTTTAAACATTTATCAAATTATTATACATAATCGTATATCAATTAAAACATGTTTAAAAAATACATTTTTATTTTAACAAGTTACACCATTATAATCGTCTCGTTAATACCTTCGAAATGAGTCCAATATTGAATAGTTTTTTACTTAATTATATTATTATATATTATATATACTGTGAAAAAATATTTTTAATATCTACGATTTATACTTTTATAATTATTTATTTATATATATACTATATATTTTGGGGTTAAGCTGTCCAAATTGCACTGTATAATATGTTTTGAATTAATATGTTCTTGGGTTATTTTGAAATATATATACATGTATTAATTCAACCTTAATATGAGTTTCTGGACAAGAAAGAGAGTAAGCAGTTGAAATTTCATTCTAAAATCCATTTTTTTTGTCTTTTCATGGCTTATGATCTGTCAAATTTGTAGTTTTCTTTATTGATTTTGAGTGTTTATCTTAAAACTCACGTTTCTTGGTTCTTTGCTCTTGGTGTAAATCGAATACATTTATGGAGTCGTTTAAATATGTTGAATTTTAAATATATTGGATTTTAAACTGTCATACAGTTTTTTTCATCGATAGTCTGTAATTGGAATCATAACTCTAATTTATTCAAATTGTTTAATATGTAAAGACCAAATGTAACATATATCATCGTTAAATCTTATCTTATAAAACCAGTGGAACTTCAAAATCGTTAAAATTCATGGTTGCTGCCGCATTACGCGGATACACAACTAGTTTTTAAATGAAATATGAATTTGAAGATAACATAAGATTTTAAAAAATAAATAAATCGATATTAGTATCAAATTAACTACTTAATAGTTTTCGTTTTTTAATGCAACTTCTTTAATTCAATTTTTATTATTATTTAATTTAGATTTAATAACAAAACAATTTATTTTTGATTTAATAATATAAATTTTTATATGGATAATAATTAAACATTCTGTTAAACTCAATGATTATCTTAGTTATATTTTAAATTTTCTATATTTAAAATGAATGTTTATCCTATATTTGATTATGTTTATCTGCAGTTAGTTACACAAATTTAAAAATGGAGCTTTAATAAGTTGTACTTATGCAAAATTACTTGTAATCTTGAATATTAAGTAATATGTATCAATAAACAGTAATTCATACATAAAAGATAGTTTTTAAGAGTTTTATCAAATGTTTTATAAATATACTAGAAGCGTACTCGCGCAATGCAGCGAGATACATCATGATTTTAATATTTCATTTTATTATTTATCTCA